TTTGCTTCTTCTCTCTTTTTTTGTAGGAATCTTTCAGATCATTTGGATCTTTCAGTTTACACCCCAGCTTCTGTACAAAAGCTGCCACGGATTCCTCACTTCCCAGCTCTCTGTTGTCAATCTTTCTATTTCTCTCCTCCTGGCCTACATCCCTACCTCTACCCTCTTCCTCCTGACTTCTTTCTATCTGAAATTTAGCTAGCCCTTCCTCTAGGGAATTATTCTCCTCCATTTCATTTGTCAGATTCTCAATATTTCCCAGAATTCTGCTTATATTATTTGCTTCCACCTCTTCTTCTACCTCCCTCCCCCAGTCTTCTCTAATGCTGCTCCCACTATTTGCCCCTCCCCCTGCTACATAGGCTACAGCTTCTGAACTGGGATTGGAATCTGGCACTCAAGACACAGAGCACTCATTAGTAACGAAAATTGAATGGACACATTTACCTGGGTTTACCTGGGAGTGAAAAGGGGAGCTGGATTTTGGAGCAGTCGGATCCTGATTAAGTGTATGAGTGTCGCCTAACCCCTTGGTTCGGGTCTGAGATGGTATCCTTCCTGTCTCCCTTGTTATACATTGGTCCCTCTCTGTACCCACCTGTTTGTTCCTAACTGCTTCGTTCCTGCTTTGCTTCAGGCGAGTCTCGGACACTTCCTTACACACCTCCTGTCCATTAGCAAGGTTTGGTAATGGAACTTCTAAGTTCCAAGTCATAATTTTCGCCCCCAACAATGATGATGTGCTCTGCTAATCTGTTAGTCACCTGATGTAGTGGTTGCTCTGAATCAGATCCATCTGCTGCAACTTTTGAGAACAAGACGCCAAGATTTAATGTTGTCGCAATCTCAGCCTCTAACTCTTTGTCTGTCTCAACACTACCTATGCTGGACTATTCATCGGAATCCTCTTCCATCTCTGTGTCGTCCATCTGACATTTTACTCAGCCCACATCGATTTCCTCCTTCACCTCAACGCCGTTCCATACATACATGGGGTTTGGATGGTCCTGTACGGAGCGACTTCCGCCAGAAGGTCCAAGCACTGGTCTGGGAACCCAGTGTAGAGATTCGCCGATTTTCTCTTAAAGCCTGTTCGCAGCTGATACACCATCAACAGTTCTTTTCGAGGAAGAAGAAGATAGACGCTTTTTAGCGTCTATAATCCTCTTAGTTACGTCCTGGGCCACGTGCTCACTTAAACAAGCACGTGGCCCCAGGTTCGAACTCATGGTTGACCCACCGACTCCTCTTACCGGTTCGGACAACCCGGCCCGCAACAAACCCTTAGTTGGTCCAATCCCCTTCTTGACCACCTCAGCAAAAGAAGCGCGGGCCCCTATCCTTCGAGTGACTTAAAAATTTTTTAAAATATTTTCCTTAATTAGCTTGCGTGTCTCTTGGTTTCCCACCTGCGCCTTTCCAGTTTCCTCCTTAGACCGCGGCTGGTCAACCTCCATTTCCTCCAACCCATGGTTGCCACCTGTGAACCATCCCGCCACGTCACCTTCATCTTCTTCCTTCGTGCTTCGCCCCCAGAGCTCCACCTCCTTCTCTGAAACCAGCCAGATCTTATACCAGACTTCATCAGCCAACATTTCGACTACCCTTGGGACCGATTCTGGTTCCACCCCCTTAACCCTGACCTCCACAGCTCGAAAATTTTCCATATTAATTTCCTCCACCACCTCACCCAACATCTTTACTATATTGTCCAGGTTTGATTCGTTCCAGAGGTGAAATGGGAGTCCAACCATTTTTAGTGTGAAGCTCCCTCTGGGAGGCACCAACTCATTACACAGAGGTTTCCAGTTTTGTATGTATACCAACCCATCTTCCCATTCAAAAGCTGTGAAACCTCTGTTTTTTCGGTCTTCGATTTCTAAGACTGCCTTCCGGTTTGAAAATGGCTTCAAGGCTACCTTCGCATCCCGCTTCAGATTGTTCACCACAGCTTTCAACACCTTCCTCCAATCCTGTACGTCCTTGCTGTTTGTAATCACCATCCTCTTCTCCCACTCACCCTTCTCAGCCTCAAACCAGACTTTCAGACCCTTGCTTGAGAGTGCTATTGCCTTTCCGCAGCTGAAGGAGTCCTGTTTCAGTGCCTGGCTCGAGGTCTTACGGATACTCTCATCTTTGCTCTGTTCTTGTTCGTGTTTCATTTGCAGATGGTTATCAACCCTAGCCAGGAACTTCTGTAACTCAGCCGCAAAATTTATCCAACCTCGTATATTCTTCCCTTCCGGTAAGCAGACCATTTGTTTCCGGTCCCCAAAATACTCGGTGATGGTAATGAACCATCCTTTCCTGTTGCATCTTAGTTCCACTACAAATTTCTTCCTTTCCAATTCCAATATATTTCTCCACCTTACATTTTTGACAGATTGGAGTACTCCATCGATGGAACCTTTCAGCCAGAGGACTGCTTCCTCCAGTAGAATTATCGTCGTCCTCCTACCTTTTCTTACCTTTAAGAGATTTCTAACTCTTGCCTTTCCGCTTTCTAGGAGAAGTTTCTTCGCTTCAATGTCTAGTACTGACTCCCGCCTATTCGCCACCTGAAACTCTGTGTCGCTTCCTCTTCCCATCCTAAAAGTTCCCTTTTTTAGAAGTTTTTGGCCAAATGGAATTCTTCAGATAAGCAGCTCAAATGCCTCAACTAGGCTAAGAAAAGCAGTACCTTGCATTTTTCCTCACTTTCCAATCAAAGAGTACTGAAGAAGACCAATCAAATGCAAATGGAGTTCTAGCCTTCCAGGTTTAGTCTACATCCATAACATTAAGCTTTTGGAAATAGGTCTCTGTGACACTATCCCACACTTCTTTTGCAGTTTCCATCCACAGGTAATGCTGACTAATGTGTGGTTGCATAGAATTCACTAACCAACCCACTACTATGTAGTTTTCCTGCATCCACCTTTCATAGGTAGGATCATCATCCTCTAGTTTCTTCTTGCTCTCGGTAATATAACCCCATTTTCCTCTACTACACACATGTACCTTAATAGATTGAGACCAATCTAAATAATTGGTCCCATCTAGCTTCATAGTAGTCACAGCCCCAAAAAGATTCTCCACCGACTCCCATGTCCAAACTTGAAATTTGTGGAATATTTGGTCTCTCCTCTAGTTTGCTCCATTGAGTAAACGGATGCAAACGAAAATCACATTAAGGCTTTACTAGGCTAGATTTACTGTTCTAAGCAAAAAACAACCTCTCAACCCCCCAAAATTAGGGTTTCACAGGGTCTTGCAGGATGGGGAGAAAGAGAGAAACTTCAACTGCCCCTTCCAGAGGTTCTAGAATTCAATCCAACCAAAACCACCCCTAATAGAAATCAAAAGCCTTACCTCTGATCCCCAAGCGCCTGGTTCAAACTATCTCTACGACCTGTAACATGGTTTCTCCAGTTATCTAGGGTTTTTGGGAAAAATCTTCAAGAACCTGCCTTGGGCTTCAACTAAAGATGAAAAACCTCCACAAAACTCTCCAAAAACCTTCATAATTGAGCTTCATAAGTAGTTGATTGATCAACCGATCAGTTCTCTATACACACTATGTATGGGCAAAGAATGGAGAAAAAAGTCGAAAGTGAGAACCTGCTCTGGTATCAAGTTGAAAATTACACATACAGTAATTCAGATAATGCAAGAAAAGAAGAAAGGAGAGAGAGAAGGAAGAAGAAAAGAAGTTTCAGCAATAGGTTGTGAAAAAAGAAAAAGAAGGGAAGAGAGAAAAGAAGAATTCGGACCACTCTCTCTAGCCCCCTTTCATCACTTTTATTAATGTGATAGAACAAGAATTAGAAGAAATTGATGTCTTTCTATTAAGAAAGTAGTACATATATATACAACCTTGTAGATACTAAAAAGGAAGAAAATCATACAGTCTTGCAGATACAAAAAAGGAAGAAAATCATACAGCCTTGCAGATACAAAAAAGGTAGATACTAAATAGGAAGAAAATCAAAGAAAGAATAATTCCTATAATCAAGCTATTCCTAATTGGGCTAATACTACATATTTACGGCCTATAATTTCGTAACAATTAATAATTCTAAATCTGAGTACAACTACTTGGATGCCCTTAATGGGGCGGCCAGCACTAAAGAAATAATTAAAGAAAATAAAAGAAGGCCCATAAGGCCCATAACTAAGAAATGTAACTTTTAAATACTGCTTAAAAGAAATAAAGAACACTAGGGCTCATTCGGCCTATTCTCACTACAATAATAATTGTTTTACTTTCTCTAAGCATAAATGTAAGGGACCATGGAGCTTCCATTCTGGTTTGAAAGCTAATTATCACATTGCAGTTATTTACTATTTAGGTTGAATTCTCTCTTGTTATTTCTGTTTGACTGTTTTATGCTCTTTCTTTTGGTGAAGCGTGGTTTTAGTGGCTCTATTTTGGGGGGCTATGGATTGTTATAGATGCCTAAATGTTGGCCTATCATTCTCTGAAAAATCAAAGGACGGAAACCTGCCAAATGTTTTATTTTTTTCATCCTTTTTTACTTCTTTTTGCCAATGCTATTTGGCAAATAATGTCAATTTTTACCATTGCGTGCTGTGCTTTTCTGTCTCTTCCTAACCTGAAGGTTTCTTAGTTTCTACCAAGGGGAGAGTTATTTATTTATTTATTTTTTTTGGGGGGGGGGGGAAGTATTACCATAGAACCAGGTTTCAATTACTATATGACATTTTCCTCCTATTTTTTCTCCCTCCCCCAATGACTGCTGATGGTTAGAAAAACACTGCAGATTTCTTGTTGGTTGCTGTTGTTTCTAGTAATTTTTCTTTTGGGTTAATTCATCTCAAATACTATCAGTTATGGACCTTACTAGAACAGGGGAAACATGGAAAGTGTTGTTTTAGACTTGATCTTCTAGATTGTTGTCCTTGAATCCATGCAGTTATAGTTCCTAAATTTTTATTTAAGTTTTCCCGTCCTTCTAGATATGATTTACAGATGCCTAGTTTCCTTTTTACCAATGCAGGGGTATTGGATATCCCGATCTTTGGCCTTCATCCACCTGTAGGGAGCCACTCGATGTCGCAAACAATTTTACCTTTGATGTGATTTCTGGCATCTTGACAGGTTGAGATTCTTAATGACTTTACTGGTTTTGGTTCCTGTTTTTTCTGCATTTGTGTAATTCTTTTGATTGAAGTAGAAAGGTTTGGACAACCTGTTTTGATATAAAAACTGCAAAAGAAAGAAGAAAAGAACGAGGAGAAAAGGTTTCAGCTAAGAAAGAGAGAGATGAGAGATATAAGAGAATGGGAGAAGCTCAGAATTAGGTCTGCCCGCCCCTTTCATTAGATTATATACTCGTAAACAAAAGAGAATACAAAGACAAGTATGCCCTTAGTAAGTTGGCTACTTGTGAGAACTTAAAAACACTCCTAAAACATAAACTAATGGGCCTAAGGCCCAATAACTCTCTAACTATGCTATGTAAATAAAAAACATGTTATATCAGCCAAAACTCAACAATTGACAACAAAATTTTATCCCAACTACTTATATAGTAGTTTTGTTGAGTCAAATTAATTGTTTTAAAATTTCTTAACTTGGTTCAGATAGGTTAGCTGATCAGATAACAATCTTGCTGGCTGGCCTGTAGGCAAAGAGGGGAGTTAAAGAGGGTGGGATTGTATATGAGTTTTGGGATATCAGAATTTGGTTTGAATCCAACAGATTTTGAAACTCCTATATTTGAATTCAATTTGATTAAATAGTTGGATTTCCAATTAGAGTTAGATTCAATTTGATTTTCTCATTATTCTTGTTCTTCCCCACACAAGAAATTGCAGAATAATGGATAAAGCATAAAAGGAAAAAAGAAGAAATAAAAGAAAGTTTCTTTTATTATCTTGCTGTTTATAATCAAGATTGTAGGTGACATAACAAAGATTAGAGGCTGGAATCTTAGAATCAATGACTGTAAGTAACATTTCTATCAAAAAAAAAAAAAAAAGACTGTAAGTAACATAACAAAGATTTGACTGAGTAGCAGCTGGCCAGCCATTCCAAGCTCTCAATAATACCAAAGTTTCTCTCTTATAGGCTTGCAATCCTGCCAATAATCCAGATAATCAAGTCCCAATGGGTAAAACCTTTAAAGATTTTGCTAAAAAACTAGACCACTAAAAAACCAAAAGTTAATAATTGAAAAACCAACAAAACTCTTCAGATTTCAACTAGCAGTGGTGCCAGATGCATTAGCAATGGATTATGAAAAAAAATCATTCAGTTTTCTAATCCTCTCAATATTAGTGAAGGCCAAAAAGAAAGTGGAAAGAAGGTTGCTTGTATTGAAAGAAGAAAAGACTAGGATTTGGAAGAAAAAAGCATTTAGTTTTATCTTGGTAGAGAACACCAGTAGAAGGTTTAGAAGAAAAACCCCTTTTTCAATTCTTCTTATTAAGACTAGGGTTTGGAAGAAGACACCCTTTTTGTCTTCCAGTCATTGAATAGACTATTTTCTTTCTTTTTAGTGCCAGTTTGGGAGGGCTTTCGGGATGTGGCTTCTGGTGTTTCAAGCTGGGCCCCACACAGGAATGCCAGAAGCTGTGTTTGGTAAAAATCCAAAAATCCAATATGGGCTTTCCTATCACCCAAACCATTGCTCAAATATGAAGCTACTCTGAGTAACTTCTCCAGAACACTGGTGCTCAACCATTGCAGCTCAATTAACACAATACACCCCAAACACAGAAGCCCTCCCAAACAGGCTCTTAATTTTTGATGGTGTATCATCAAATAAACTAGGTATTTTTCTTCTTGGTCATATGAATAAATTACTCTTTTATACCCAGTCATTGAATATGGCAAGGTCATTGTTTTTTTTTTTTTTTTTTTTTTGTCTTCTGTGTCAACTATTAAGATCTTAATACCCTTGTGTTCAATAAAAATCCTTTCAAAAAGTTTCTACTATTTAAATTTTATGAAGGGTATACTTGCCCACGTGTGTGTGTGTGTGTGTGTGTATATATATATTATTTTATATTTAATCCAATAGAATTAGATGATATTGGATCCAACCATGATCTATCCAAATTTGATTCGTTTCTTATAATCAGATATTTGTATCCTTCATAAATAGATCGGATCACAGATTGAGTCAGATCAATATTTGACTTATTTGCATCTCTAGGTCCACTCTACTTGGTTAGACTGTTGGGTACTGTTTTGGTTCTTTCTTAATAGAAGTATTTTGACCTGCTAATGATAAAAACTTCTTGATTGCTTGCTAAGATGAGGCTCAACCATTATGTCAAATTTTGTGTTAGTTTAGCTATACATGCACAAATTACCTCCAAAACAGTTATTTTCTAAGTTATATGTCCTTATAGATTGCATGCCAAATCTTCCTCCCCATCTCTTAAAAAAATGAAACAAAAGGGGGCCAATGTTTGTAGTATGTTGATCTAAAATTTGTGTCTACAGATATGAGGCAAATATTTCCTTTTGAGCTCTTTCACTTGGGGGGTGATGAAGTCAATACAGGTTAGTTAGTTTGATTTTTCCTTGTGGTAGATCAAAATGCTTTTACTACTGTTTAAAGTTAAAGTAAAAAGTGACAAGAAAACTGCATGCATTTTTATTTTCAACTTGTAGCCATCAAACTACAATGAGCTCGAATATCATACTATTCTATATTTTTTCTTTGGGGGGGGGGGCAGTTATCCATTATAGAGAAAATACTTATTTTTGAAGCTAAAGACATAATGTGGAAGCATAACAAAAATAAAGGGCTCTTTAAAAGCAATGGGTGAGGGCAGTTATTTTGGTGGTGGCCTCCTCAGCTACCATACTAGGGTATGCTAGTAAATACTCCTTTGTTCTCCTAATATAATAAATTGATGTTATCTATCAAAATAAATAAATAAGTGGCTCTTCTGGATTATCACATCCACCCACTCAGCATGAGGTCCCATTTCTAGATTGCATTATATAGGATGTATTTGCCAACATAAGCACATGGTCCTATTTAGAACCTTTTTGTCTTATTTGTAGAATCCTCTTTGTGCCTAAAACACAGATACCTATACATGCTTAGTGCACCCATGATTCATATAGTGCCCAATATGGCCACCAGGTACTGCATGGGCACTTTTACATCATACTTTATGGCATGAACACTCATAAAGAATGATATATTTTAGCAAATCATACAATACAAAATTTGTTGATGATAAGTGTAATTCCAAACCATTTGGGAGCATATTATAGAAAAAGTAGACAGGAAATTGGCTTCTTGGAAGACAAAATATCTCTCTAAAGGTGGGAAGGTCACAGTGTCACACTAATTAAAAGTGTTTTGACATCCTTACCAGTCTATTATATATCCCTATTCCCTCTTCCAGCAAAGACAGCAGCTGTGTTGGAGAAAAAGATGCGAGATTTTTTGTGGAGAGGGTGGAAGGAGGGAGCTAAATGTTGTTTGGTTAACTGGAAAACACTATGCCAGATCCAAAGAAAAAGGGGGCTTAGGGATTAGAAAGTTGAAGGAGGTCAATACCACATTTTTAGGGAAGTGGTTGTGGAGTAATGAGCAACCGAATAGTCTCTGGAAAAGATTAATTCTATCGAAGTATGGTTCTAGTAGCAGAGATTGGGAGACAGAAGCTGTAAGATCCCAATATGGTTGTTCAGTGTGGAAGGCGATTCAGAAAAGTCGGCCCCAGTTTATGAAGGGCATAAAATATGCAGTTCGCAATGCTCGAAGGGTTCTGTTCTGGAAGGATCATTGGTGTGTTGACAGTCCCCTTAAGGACTTGTATCCTTAGCTGTATGAGATCGCAGTCAACAAGAATGCAACAGTGGCTGAGTGTATGGAAGATCAGTACGGGGGTTGTGTATGGAACCCTCAATTTTGGAGGAAACTGAAGGATAGGGAGGTGAATTCTCTAATTCGCTTGTTACAGTGTTTATATAGCATGAGAACAAATGGCCTAAGGAAAGAAGAAAGGTTGTGGAGTTTTGAAAAATCAGGGGAATTTTCTGTAAAATCCTTTTATGACAGCTTATCAAGGGAGAACTTTGAATTTCCAAGTGGAAGGATATGAATTATAAGAGGTATAGAAGTGGCTAATGTGGGTTTTAATTTGTGTAGCAGAAGTCTGGAAACTACTAATCACCTGTTGATTCATTGTAATTCCGTGTTCTGGATTTGGGGAAGAATTTTGGATCTGTTTGGAGTCAGGATGTGCTTCCAGGCTGATGTGAAGGAATTCATGGGTGCATGGTGTCTCTTGACAGTAAATCCGATTGAAGATTACAGCAGAAGAGAAGAGAAGAGAAGGAAGAAAGGAGAAGGATTAGAGGCAATGGAACAGTTCTGGCGGCGCCAGCTTCATTATAATATATAGGGCGGAAAAAATAAGAAGGGAAATGACCCTTGTGCCCCTACTAAATAAAGTTATAATAACAGATTAAAATAAAAAAAAGCTTTAATCAGCCAAACAGACCCTAACAAAATAAAAAACAATTTATTTCAACACTCCCCCTCAAGTTGGAGCATAGATGTCAATCATGCTCAACTTGTTACACAAATCATTATGCTGCACATGATGAAGACCTTTGGTGAAGATATCTGCAAGTTGTTCTTCTGAGCTGACATATGGGGTGTACACTTCTCCATTTACAAGTTTCGCTCTAATAAAATGCTTGTCCATTTCAATGTGTTTCGTCCTATCATGGAAGATTGGATTAGTTGCAATGTTGATAGTAGCCTTATTGTCGCAATAGAGTGACATAGGGTTGCTAACTATAAAACCCAGTTCTCCTAACAGATTTCTTATCCACATGATTTCAACAACTCCATGAGACATAACTTTGTATTCTGCTTCAGCACTAGATCTAGCCACCAAACTTTGCTTGTTACTTCTCCATGTGACTAGGTTTCCCCCCACAAAGGCACAATATCCACTGGTAGACTTTCGGTCATCAACTGCCCCTGCCCAATCAGCATCAGTATATACTTCCACCTTTAAATGTCCATGTTTCTGGAACAACAAACCAGCTCCAAGAAACTTCTTGAGGTATCTGAGGATCCTCTCTGCAGCCTCAAGGTGAGTTGTCCTAGGGTTGTGCATGAACTGACTAAGGACACCCACTGCATAAGCAATATCAGGCCTGGTCATAGACAAATACAAGAGTCTCCCTACAAGTTTCTGAAACTTCTTCACATCTTTCAAGAACTCTCCCTGACTGTCTCCTAGTTGATGGTTAGGTTCAATTGGTGAGTCAATTGGTCTCGCCCCTAGTTTGCCTATATCTTCTAGTAGATCTAGTACATATTTCCGTTGGGAAATAAAGATGCCCTTGTGAGAGCGGGCAGCTTCAATGTCATCCACATTGAGTGGCTAAGAACTTTTTTAGTCTCTGTATTTCAGCCTCCCAATCTTCTGTGATCACAATGTCATCCACATACGCAATTAGAGCTGCAATTTTTCCTTCACCCTTCTTCACAAATAGTGTGTGATCTGACTGGCATTGTTTGAACCCCATCTGTTGAACTGCTAAGTGGAATTTACTAAATCAGGTCCGAGGAGATTGTTTCAGCCCGTATAAAGATTTTTTTAACTTGCACACTTTCTGTTCATTGCCTTTGGCACAAAAACCTGGAGGTTGGGTCATGTACACTTCCTCTTCTAAGTCGCCATTCAGGAAAGCATTTTTGATGTCCAATTGGTGAAGTTCCCAGTCAAGATTTGCCACTAGTGAAAGGAGAATTCCGATAGAGTTCATCTTGGCTACTGG